CTGCGGATAACTAATTTATAGAGAATTACTAGATGGATAAAGATTGAGGCATCCTTATAGTGATCACCGCTTATACCCTTCTGACCTTCCCATCACAAACAAGAGTCCAGAGTGCTGTTTCCTCAGTTCAGTGTGGTGTTCGCTAGACATTTGAGGACTAAACTATGATTTTTTTTTTATCTTGCCCAAATTCCTATATAAGGGGTCTGGAGAGTCCATACCCCATAAATCATAAATTCTCGTCAGATGGGTTTTATTTTTACATATATCATGACTGACTTTCCAACCTGACTCTGGTATAACACTACAAGACAAGGAAGAAAACCAAAATATTTTACCCCAAAACGTGTCTCTTTGCCATATTTTGAAATGGCCCTGCAAAGCTGTTCTTTGTGGGGGGGAACATTTGCATCTGTAAAGAATCTCTATTAACATAGCTGGACCTTTTTTTTCCCCAAACCCTCCCAATCCTAAAGAGATTAACTAAGATCTGAATAGGAAACATTTGTCGTCTCTTGTCTCTAAGGGCAGCTACTATAAGACTTCAGAAGAACTTTGGTCTCCACAATCTTGATCTTAACCTGAACATTCCCTTTCTATCCATCCCAGGTCTTTAGACAAACTCAACCAATTGTCAACCAGAAATTGTTTAAATTCACCTGTAGCCTGGAAGCTGCCGGCCCCCGCCAACCCCGCCCCCTGCTTTGAGTTGTCCCGCCTTTCTGGACCAAACCAATGTATTTCTTAAATGTGTTTGATTGATGTTTTATGCTTCTCTAAAATGTGTAAAACCAAGCTGCACCCCAACCACCTTGGACACATGTTTTCAGGATCTCCTGAGAGCCGTGACATAGCCATGGGCCCTCATCATTGGCTCGGAATAAATCTCCTCAAATATTTTATAGCGTTTGACTCTTTTCGTCGACACATTTCTGTTGTCTGGTTGTGGTTTTTGTTGTTGTTTTTAATTCAAGCTCTCCTTCTTTCTGTTTATGCTTTGTTTTGTCTATCTCCTTCCTATTCTTTGTAAAATACAGTGCTGGGGTTAGGTGAGGTGGCTCATGCCTTTAATGCCAGCACTTTGGGAGGCCAAGGCAGGGGGATCGCTTGAGGTTAGGAATTCGACACCAGCTTGGGCAACATAGCAAGACCCTGTCTCTATTTTAAAAATTACAGATATGAAAAATGTAGTTCTGATCATGGCATTTGCTTGCTAAAACCTTTCAGTGCTTCGTCATTGCCTAAGCAGGGCTTCGGGCCTTTGTGATTTCTGTCATATTGACCTGTTTATTATTCAGTGTACATTCTTCTTTGGACTTAATTTTTTAACATTTAATTTTCACTTTTATCAAAATAATACCTCTATATAGTATGAAAAATCAGAATTAGGCAACTTAGGAGAAGCAGCTCTCCTCGCCTCCAAGTCTTAATCCCCAGAGACAGTGCTTCTGATTCTTTTAGTGGTTTATAGTAAAGTGTCTATAGTCCAATATACACTTGACCCAGGAACTATGCAGCTCTGCTTATACATGAATCTTTTTCAATAAGCATATTGGAAAATTTTTTGGAGATTTGTGACAATTTGAAAAAACTCTCAGATGAATTATATAGTCTAGAAACATTGAAAACAAGAAAAAGTTAGGTATGTAATACATGCTAAAAATATATGCAGATGCTAGTCTATTTTATCATTTGCTACTATAAAATATACACAGATCTACTTACAAAGTTAAAACTTATCAAAACAAGTGCACACAAACACTTACAAATCATGTATGGCACCCTTCACAGTGGACAGAAATGTAAACAAATGGAAAGATGCAGTATTTTTTTTTTTTTTTTTTTTTGAGATGGAGTCTTGCTCTGTTGCCCAGGCTGGAGTGCAGTGGCGAGATCTCGGCTCACTGCAAGCTCTGCCTCCTGGGTTCACGCCATTCTTCTGCCTCAGCCTCCCGAGTAGCTGGGACTACAGGCATCTGCCACCACGCCCGGCTAAATTTTTTGTATTTTTAGTACAGACGGGGTTTCACCGTGTTAGCCAGGATGGTCTTGATTTCCTGACCTTGTGATCCACCCGCCTCGGCCTCCCAAAGTGCTGGGCCTGAGCCACCACACCCTGCCGTGAAAGATGCAGTATTGAATCATACTGCACAAAATGAACTGTAATACATACTGTGATAATGCAATAATGTCATAGTCACCTCCTGTTGCTATTGAGGTGAGCTCAGATGTTGTGAGTATCCACTTAAAATGCTGCTGTATGATGTTAATCATCTCTGTCTGAGCAGTTATCTCTCTAGTAAATTTTTTTTACCAGAGTAAAAAAAGTGACCTCTTGAACTTCTCACTTTTTGTGTTTAGTGCAATAATATAAACACTGAACAACACCGTGGAACCCATACAATGTGAAACTAGTCTTTCACAATGGACATGCTCACAAGAAGTAAAGTTATGACATTACAAGGAAAAGTTGAATTGCTTGACATGTACTGTAGACTAAGGTCTGCAGCTACAATTGCCGGCAATTTCAAGATAAATAAATCCAGCATAAGGATAATTATAAGAAAAGGAAATACATGAAGCCATCACTGCAGCTATGCCAGCAGGTGCAAAAACCTTGCACTTAGACCTTTTAATCTCATATTGAAAATGCAGCTATTCTGTGTGTGCAGGATTGCTATAAGAAAGGCATATCTGTACTCTCTAATATGATTTGAGAAAAAGCAATGTCATTAAATGACAACTTAAAGCAAAAGGAAAGTGAAGGATCTGATCTAAAGCTGGAGAACTTAATGCCAGCAAAGGATGGTTTGATAATTTCAGAAAGAGGTTTGGTTTGAAATATGTCAAGATACTAGGTGAAGCAACTTCCGCCAACCAAGAGGCAGCAGACAAGTTCCCAGATGTTATGAAAAAAATTATTGAGGAGAAAGGATATCTGCCTGACAGATTTTCATTGCAGGTGAGTGACCTGTTCTGGTGGGGGCAAAAGCCATACATGACATTTATTAGTAAGGAAGAGAATCCAGCATCAGAATTTAAGGCAGGAAGGGTTAAGCTAACTCTGTTTTGTGCAAATGCATTGGGTTTATGATCAGGACTGCCCTTATCTCTAAAGCTGCTAACCTCCAAGCCTTGAAGTGAAAAGTTGCTCATCTTTTGGTTGTACAAGAAGAAGGCCTAGACAACAACAGCCCCTTTTCCGGATCGATTTCATTGATGCTTTGCCCCTGAAGTCAGGAAGTACCTTGCCAGTAGGGGACTGCCTTTTAAAGTTCTTTTAATACTGGACAATGCCCATGGTCACTCAGAACCCCAGAAGTTTAACATTGAAGGCACCAATGTGCTCTACTTGCTGCCAAACCCAAGGTCTCTAATTCAGACTCTAGATCAGGGGGTCTCAAGGACCTTTAAGTCTCGTTCCACGTGGTACTCTACCGAAAGGATCGCCAGTGTTATGGAAGAGAACCCTGATAGAACATCTTGAAAGTCTAGAAGGATGACACCATTGATGATGCTATTGTTATGATAGAAAAAGCTATGGAAGCCGTCAAGCCCAAAACAATAATTTCCTGCTGGAGAAAACTGTGTCTAGATGTTGTACATGACTTCACAAGATTTACAACAGAGCCCAACAAAGAAATCATGAGAGAGATTGTGGAAAGGCCAAAAAAATATATATATATATTGGGGGTGGGGGTAGAGGTTGAAGAGTTTCAAGGTAGGGATCTTGGAGAAAATCAAGAGCTAATAGACACCACACCAGAGGAATTAACATAAGTTGACCTGATGGAGATGTCTGCTTCCAAACCAGTGCCAGACAATGAGGAATAAGACAGAAGCAGCAGTGCCAGAAAACAACTGATTAAATGATCTGGCAGAAGGGTTTCAGGGATTCAAGACGGCTTTTGACAGGCCAGGCACGGTGGCTCACGCCTGTCATCCCAGCACTTTGGGAGGCCGAGGTGGGTGGATCATGGGGTCAGGAGATGGAAACCATCCTGGCCAACATGGTGAAACCCCATCTTTACTAAAAATACAAAAATTAGCTGGGTGTGGTGGTGCGTGTCTGTAATCTCAGCTACTCGGGAGGCTGAGGCAGGAGAATCACGTGAACCTGGGAGTCGGAGGTTGCAGTGAGCTCAGATTGTGCCACTGCACTCCAGCCTGGCGACAGAGCAAGGCCCTGTCTCAAAAAAAACAAAAAACAAAAAAACAAAAAAGACTACTTCTGACTTCTTTCATGACTTGGACCCTTCTGTGATAATGTGCACTGAAACTAAAGCAAACAGTGGAAGAAGGATTGGTATCATATAGAAACATTTTTAGAGAAATGAAAAAGCAAAGATGTCAGGCAAATTACATTGTATTTCCGTAAAATTACACCAATTGTGCCTCCCTTTCCTGTCTCCCCTTCTACCTCCTTCACCTCTTCCACCTCTACCACCCAAGACACAAGACCAACAACCCCTTTTCTTCCTCCTCCTCAGCCTACTTAATGTGAAGATAACGAGGATGAAGACTTTTATTATGATCCACTTCCACTTAATAAATTGGAAATATATTGTCTCTTCCTTATGATTTTCTGAATATTTCCTTTTCTCTAGCTTACTTTATTGTAAGAATATAATGTATAATACATATAACATACAAAATATGTGTTAATTCACTGTTTATGTTATCTGTAAGGCTTTCAGTTAACAGTAGACTGTTTTGGGGGAGTCAAAAATGTTGTATGTGGGCTGGGTGCGGTGGCTCATGCCTGTAATCCCAGCACTTTGGGAGGCCGAGACGGGCAGATCATGAGGTCAGGAGTTCGAGACCAGCCTGGCCAACATGGTGAAACCCCGTCTCTACTAAAAATACAAAGAATTAGCCAGGCATAGTGGCGAGCTCCTGTAATCCCAGGTACTCGGGCGGCTGAGGCAGGAGAATTGCTTGAACCCGGGAGGCAGAGGTTGCAGTAAGCCAAGATCGTGTCACTGCCCTCCAGCCTGGGCGACAGAGCAAGACTCCATCGAGTAGGGGGGAAAAAAAGTGGTGTTCAACTTTGCAGGGCGTTGGCACCATAACCTCCAAGTTGTTTAAGAGTCAACTGTAGTTGAATGTCTCTATTTCTAAATAATATGCTGCTATTTCTTAAATGTTTTCAATCTTCAATATCTGTTGACTTCCTCCTAAGGAAGATGTTAATCTAACTTGAAGTAAGACTACACACACATTTCCCACTTACCCCATCGCACACACGTCAGTGTTTTCAGTCTTCAGTCAGTGTTGATTGTTCTGACTATGTAAATGTCGTTCACAACTGAGCCACAGTGTGTACTGCAATTAGATTTTATTTCTTTATGCCCTTTTCTCTAAAGTCATTGATTGCTGCTGTTTAAAACTTTGCTTAGTTGTGTTTATCAACACTTTCACCACCAGTCCCCCATACCTCTGATAGAATTGTGAAATTCCTCTCTATGTTGATAGAGTGTTTGTAGGGAACCTGTCAGTTTTGTCTTTTAATTGGAGACTCCTCCCTCCCCTGAGTCCTTTATCTCCCTGGTCCAGTCTGGACAGACTCTTCCGGAGCGTCCCTGTACCACCAAATCCCCTTGTCCCTACAGTGGTCTTTGTCTCTTATGGATGTCAGTCCCCTATATGATGGGTGTGTGATGTTTGTGTCAGGAGGGCTGTGGCGAGGCGGTCACCAGACCGAGGCTGTGAGTTCGTGAGGCTCTGCTTGTTGTCTGCTCTGAGCTCACACTTGGGATGGAGCACCCGTGGGTATTCTCCGTATCCATAGTCACTGAGACAGCCTCGCATTAGCAGGAAGAAGCAAAACACGCAGGCACCCCAGATTCCGGAGCAACCCTTTCCTTTGGCATTTTCCCTCTATCGCCCTCTGCTGCTAAAGTTTAGCATCATGCTCACTGCAAAGGAGGAATTCTTAAGAGTTCAGCCAGTTAGTACAGAGTAGGTATTGAAGGGTGAATTTGGAGCTGAGAGGCAATTAATTGTTCACTGACATAGAGGAATAAAATACAATGCAAAGTGTCGGTTTCTTGATACATTTTATAAAATTGGGACATTTTCAAGTCAGCAAGTATTTAATTAGTGGGACGCCCCTACCTCATTTTAGTTGCACTGTATTATGTGTAGTGCTTTGTATTTGGATTTCTTCTCTATGCTTGAAAGAAATGCAAGAAGCAGTGTTGGGATAAAATGAGATATATTAGTAAATGATTTAAAAATACATAAAAAAAACAAAATACAAGGGCAATTGAAAACGTACATATAATCAGAAAATCAAAGATACGTGGGCCAACTGTGGCTCTAAGACACCTGCCTGTAAATTCCTGCCTCTGGAAAGTGCTGGTACAGAGCTCTTTCCTTCACATCCCCGTTTTAGAAAGGTGAAAACATACCTAAAAAATGTCTGAAGTGTGAAGACTAGGTAGAAAATGGTAGGTAACTTTTCCACAAAGGAGGAATGCTCTCTTGTAAAGTAGAGAAAATTTCTTCAAGTTATTTATTTTTTTTTAAAGCAAGAGTACATGGTTAACTTCAGCTTTCTAACTGACAGATGTCATGGTACTGAATCTCTCAGCATCTCAGTTTTACCCAACTATCTGGGCTTCGTCAGAGATCTCCTATAAGAAAGAGAAATACGGGGAAACCAAGGTGATGTTCCTAAGGAATGAGAAAAATGCAGACTATGTTTAGTCTAGAGTTAGACCTGAAATTTGAGACAGGAGAGGCATGAGCTTCTGAGTAAAGCATTCGGATTGAAATCCAGAGACCCGTCTTCTCCTGTCCTAGCACTTATTAGTGGGGTAACTTGGACAAGTTACGTAATCCGTGTGGGCCTCTTTTGACATCTATAAAATGCTCTAACAGCTCCCTGTATATTTTTCCGGATTGACAGGAGGATCAGATGAGACAATAAACGATTTGTAAAATGGTTAGAGAGCTTCAAAATGGTATTACCATCATCATAACTATTTTTGAAACTATTCATTTATATGAAATTGAATGAAAACAGAGTATAAGACCTAACTTAGAAATAACATAAACTTTATGAATTTCATAAAAAGCTAGTCTGTTTCGTTGAGATACAAGAGGAAGAACCCTGAAATAACATTCTAGACTTTCTCAATCTCTAATTGTTTTTAGATGTAAATATTCTGTTCTAACTCTAAGAATTTGAAATTAGAATTTGCTCTAAATATTCAATAGCAGGGGCAGATACGGCGACGTAAGGCTGTGATCCTGTTAGCATTTCTGAGTCCAGAAGGAAAGGAAATTTCTCAGACTGACAGATCCTATTGGATTTGAAATGCAGGCTATCTTTCAAAGAGAGCAGAGTTCTACTAGTTTAGGTCTAGATATTTCATGAGAGACTCTCTAGAAGCTGGAATGATAAAATAGAGATATAAAAATTGTACAGGGTTTTCTATAATTGTGAGGGGGGAAATGTTAGCAAATGACCTTGGCTCACCGTTGGGAGTTGTATTCTTTTTTTTTTTTTTTTTGAGACGGAGTCTCGCTCTGTCGCCCAGGCTGGAGTGCAGTGGCGCGATCTCGGCTCACTGCAAGCTCCGCCTCCCGGGTTCACGCCATTCTCCTGCCTCAGCCTCCCGAGTAGCTGGGACTACAGGCGCCCACCACCACGCCCGGCTAGTTTTTTTGTATTTTTTTTAGTAGAGACGGGGTTTCACCAGGTTAGCCAGGATGATCTCGATCTTCTGACCTCGTGATCTGCCCGTCTTGGCCTCCCAAAGTGCTGGGATTACAGGCGTGAGCCACCGCGCCCGGACTAGGGGGATTGTATTCTGATCCAAGACTTGAGGTTAGATAATCATGATTATAACCAACAAGATATAGCAGAACAAAAGTAACCACTGTACGTTTTTATAACAATTGAAATAACATAGTTTTACTTTAATAGCATTTAAATAATTCCACTGACTAGGCCAGGCGCGGTGACTCATGCCTGTAATCCCAGCACTTTGGGAGGGCGAGCCAGGTGGATCATCTGAGGTCGGGAGTTTGAGACCAGCCTGACCAACATGGTGAAACCCCGTCTCTACTAAAAATACAAAAATTAGCCAGGTGTGGTGACGGGCACCTGTAGTCCCAGCTACTCTGGAGGCTGAGGCAGGAGAATGGCGTGAACCCGGGAGGCGGAGCTTGCAGTGAGCCGAGATCCCGCCACTGCACTCCAGCCTGGGCGACAGAGCGACACTCCGCCTCAAAAAATAAATAAATAAATAAATAAATAATTCCACTGACTATGCAAAAGCCCCCAAGTTATTATAAAATGTATACACAACGTACAGACACACTCAACTGGATCATAAATTTGGCCTCATAAGCTAACATGTTCATTTTAGTAACTATTTATTACATATTTACTTAATATTTTGGAAGACACGGGGGAAACGTGAGCGATCTCATCTTTCAAACAAAGCAAAAAAAAAAAAAAAAAAAAACCAAAACAGGACAAACAAGACAGGTTTGGGATGTTTGAGCTGATATCCTCTTTTTCTTTCTTCGACATTTGTTTCTGAATGTTGCGAGAAAGCTGCCAGAATCAGACAGGTTGCACTGCAGACCCAGCTTTGCCACTCCTCAGCTGTGTCACTTTGCGCAAACCGCTTAACCTTGTTGAGCTTGACCTTTAGTAACACTTGCCTCACATGCCAGCCTAAGGAAACAGTACCTTGCTCATAGGAGCCACTCGGGAATTGCTATGATCCCTTAGTAGGTTCTCATTCTTCCATGTAAATAGGGATGCTGTGAGAGTGGAAGAAATGGGCCTGCTGAGATTTCTTCTGGAACCTGAAGTTCATATATGTACATTTAGTGGAAAATCAGTTGGCGATACGCCTGAATCTAGTGCTGCACTCTTTCCTGTTCCATTCATCATCTTCTCTGTTCATATGTGAATACTGTCTTGATTACTGTAGGGTTTTGTTTGTTTTTTTTTGAGCTGGAGTCTCACTCTGTCACCCAGGCTGGAGTGCAGGGGTGCCATCTCGGCTCACTGCAACCTCCACCTCCCAGGTTCAAGCGATTCTCGTGCCTCAGCCTCCCGAGTAGCTGGGATTACAGGTGCACACCAGCATGACCAACTAATGTTTGTACTTTTAGTAGAGACAGGATTTCACAATATAGGCCAGACTGGTCTCAAACTCCTGACCTTAAGTGATCCACCCGCCTCGGCCTCCCAAAGTACTGGAGGGTCCTTAAGTGAGCCACAGCACTCAGCCAGATTACTATAGCATTATAGGAAGTCTTGAAATCAGATAGTATGACTTTATTTTTTAGAACAGTTTTAGATTTACAGAGAAATCAAATAGTACAGAGGGTTCCTGTATATCCCACATCCATTTTCCCCTATAGTTACTGTCTTACATTGGCATGATATATTTGTGCAATTAGTGAGCCGATATTGATATATTATTAGTTAAGTTTATGAATATTTTCTTAATTGTGACCCAATGTCCTTTTTTGGTTCTAGGATATGGCATTATATTTAGTTGCTGCATCTCCTTAGGTTCCTCTGAGCTGTGGCAGTGTCTCCGACTTCCCTTGTTTTTGATGTTGACAGTTTTGTGGGGTACTGCTCAGGTATTTTGTAGGACACTACACAGCTAGAATTTGCCCAGTGTGTTTCTTATGATAACACTGGGGTTATGAGTTGTTGGGTGGAAGACCACAGACAAAGTACCATTTTCATCATATCGTATCAAGATATGTCACATACCGTCAATGTGATTTGTAACTAATGTTTACCTTGATCACCTGGCTGAGGTGGTGTTCCTTAGGCTTCTCCACTGTGAAGTTACTCCTTCTCCATTTCCACACTGTTCTTTGAAAGGAGTCACTACATGCAGTCTACACCTAAGAAATAGAGAGTTATACTCTTTCTTCCTTGACAGTGGAGTATTTACATAAGCTAGCTGGAGATTTGTCTCTTCTCCCTCATGTATTATTCAATCATGTTTTTTTGTTTGTTCATTTTTTTTGTTGTTGTTGTTGTTTAATTTTTGGAGACAGAATCTTACTCTGTCGCCCAGGCTGGAGTGCAGTGGTGTGATCTCGGCTCACTACAACCTCCGCCTCCTGGGTTCAAGCAATTCTGCTGCCTCAACTTCCAAAGTACCTGGGATTACAGGCACCTGCCAGCAAGCCTGGCTAATTTTTTTTTTTTTTTGTACTTTTAGTAGAAACGGGGTTTCACCATGTTGACCAGGCTGGTCTTGAACTCCTGACTTCAAGTGATCCACCCCCCTTGGCCTTCCAAGGTGCTGGGATTACAGGCGTGAGCCACAGCGCCTGGCCTTAGTCCTGTGTTTTTATCAATATGGATTCATGGATATTTATTTTATACTTTGGGTTATAATTCAAAACGATTTGGTTGTTCAGAATCTTCCACCTTTGGTTATCGAGAACTCTTCTAGTTGGCTTCTGTGCTCCTCTGACATACAATGTGGGTTTGTTCTCAAATCCATCACCACATGGATTGTTCTAGCCTCATCCTCTTGCTTGTCTGTAGACTATCACTCCAACAGTGAGAGTTTGGCTCCCACTGTCTGCTAGTCATGTCCTTAGTTGGTTTTGTTGTTGTTGTTTTTCAACATGGAGTCTTGCTCTGTCCCCCAGGCTGAAGTGCAGTGGCACGATCTTGGCTCACTGCAACCTCTCCCTCCCGGGTTCAAGCAATTCTCCTGCCTCAGCCTCCCGAGTAGCTGAGATTACAGGCACGTGCCACCACGGCCGACTAATTTTTGTATTTTTAGTAGAGACAGGGTTTCACCATGTTGGTCAGACTGGTCTCAAACTCCTGACCTCATGATATCCGCCCGCCTCGGCCTCCCAAGGTGCTGGGATTATAGGCGTGAGCCACCGCGCCTGGCCCATGTCCTTAATTGTTTAGTGCCGGTGTACATGTATAGCAGTGTCAGAATCGTTAACCTGTACCCCCATGGGAAACAACTTTACCAACTAGAATTCAGCGGTTATGTGCAAGTCTTTTCGCTTTTAGTCTTATAGATGCCACTCATTTCCAAAGCTACTTAGGTCAGCACCTTCTCTTCCCACCTCTTTAAGTGATGTTGTTGCATGCGTTTGTAATACAGTTTGATGCCCTTATCATAGTCTGCATTTATTTCTGGAATCTCCAGGCTTCTAAATGATTGTTTTTTTCATGTACATTCATTAAGGTTCACTCTTTGTGCTGTACAGTTCTGCGGATTTTGATACATGCATAATGCCACCTGTCTACCTTTACATATCATATGGAGTTTTTTTTGTTTTTTTTTTTTTTGTTTGTTTTTGTTTTGAGGCGGAGTTTCACTCTTGTTGCCCAGGCTGGATGGAGTACAATGGCCAGATCTCGACTCACTGCAACCTCCGCCTCCTGGATTCAAGCGATTCTCCTGCCTCAGCCTCCCAAGTAGCTGGGATTACAGGCATGTGCCACCACGCCGGGCTAATTTTGTATTTTTAATAGAGATGGGGTTTCACCGTGTTGGCCGGGCTGGTTTTGAACTCGTGACCTCAGATGATCCACCCGCCTCGGCTTCCCAAAGTGCTGGGGTTACAGGCGTGAGCCACTGCGCCCGGCCCATATAGTGTATTTTTACTGTCTCCCCCAAATTCCTATGCTTCCTCCTATTTATCACTCTCCCCCTTTCTCCCAAACTCCTGGCAACCACTGATTATTTTACGCTCTCTATAGTTTTACCTTTCCAGAATGTCATATAATTGGAATCATACGAAATATTGTACCTTTTTATGCACACAGGTTGCTAAGAAACACATGTTGATCATCTGTAAATTATTTCATTCAGAGCTGAGCACATTATCATCAGGATTCCAGTCTTCTAAAATAATGGGACGTGTTACTTTTTTTTTCTTGCCGTTCTTATTGTTGTTACCTTATTAAGCAAAGGTTTTGATGTGGCTTACATTTTTTAAAAGTAAACTTTTCATTGAGGGGCTAGGAAAACGGATGAGGTCTTTATTTATTGAAGCTATTGTAGGGTTGTTTAATGCCTAAGTAATGCATGTAAGGCTTTTTGCACTCAAATTAGAGCTGTTCTACATGTTTTGTTTTTATGCTGATGATAATATTTTAAAATTAAAAAAATATTCTGGGTCATCTGGAGGACTACTGCATTGTGTCTTGCTGTGCAGTTCCAGCCCACATTTGAACTTCTGTGTATAATTGTGTTGGATCTTAGTCATTCTTGGCTGTTGAGAAAAGAAGGTATACTTAATATGTAATGAAGTATTTGCTTCCAAGACAAGGCCAAAGCCTGTCACTATGCGCCATATAAAGGACGTCTTCACAGCTGACATAAAGAACAGCAGGACAAACCCAAAGGACCCGTACATTAGCCTGTACCATATTCGTGGATTTTTTTGTTTTCTTTTTTGTTTTGTTTTGTTTGAGACAGTCTCACTCTGTCCAGGCTGGAGTGCAGTGGCGCGATCTGGGCTCACTGCAACCTTGGCCTCCCAGGTTCAAGCGATTCTCATGCCTCAGCCTCCTGAGTGGCTGGGATTACAGGTGCCTGGCTGATTTCTTGGTATTTTTACCATGTTGGCCAGGCTGGTCTCAAACCCCTGACCTCAAGTGAGTGATCTGCCTGCCTCAGCCTCCCAAAGTGCTGGGATGACAGGCATGAGCCACTGCTCCCAGCTGCCATATTCATGTTTTAAGCACAATTTAGGATTCCCAAAACATGTATTGTCTTCAACATTAAATTATTGTGGTTAAATAGAATTTGGGTTTTATAGTTTTCATTTTTATATGAATATTTGTTTTGCACTGTAAAGAGCTGTAAACATAATGAATGTATACTTACATTTATATTTAATTAAATAAATACAGTAACATCAATACCAAGGGGTGTGGAAGAATTTATTTAAACTTTTTTTTTTTTTTTGAGACAGAGTCTTGCTGTCATCTGGGCTGGAGTGCAGTGGTTCAACCTCGGCTCACTGCAACCTCCGCCTCCTGGGTTCAAGCAATTCTCCTGCCTCAGCCTCCCGAGTAGCTGGGATTACAGGCGCCTGCCACTACACTCAGCTAATTTTTTGTATTTTTGGTAGATACGGGGTTCCACCAGCCACGCCAGGCTGGTCTCGAACTCCTGACCTCCTGATTCACCTGCCTTGGCCTCCCACAGTGCTGGGATTACAGACGTTGAGCCACCGCACCTGGCCGAATTTTTTAGAACTTTATAACTATTTGTGCCTCCAGATTGAGAAACAATGGCTTAGCACATGACAGATTTTTACTAAATATTGGCAGTTGTTGTTATGGTTTTAAATAATATGAGCTTTTCGACTGGGCTTGGTGGCTCATGCCTGTAATCCCAGCACTTTGGGAGGCTGAGACAGGCACATCACTTGAGGTCAGGAGTTCAAGACCACTGTGGCCAACATGGTGAAACCCTATCTCTACTAAAAATACAAAAATTAGCCAGGTGTGGTGACGGGCACCTGTAGTCCCAGCTACTCTGGAGGCTGAGGCAGGAGAATGGCGTGAACCCGGGAGGCGATAAGACCTAACTTAGAAATAACATAAACTTTATGAATTTCATAAAAAGCTAGTCTGTTTCGTTGAGATACAAGAGGAAGAACCCTGAAATAACA